GTTTCTACCCAAAAAATTTGAAAACATTTATTCATAAAGATATATGCACTCCTATGTTCACAGCAGAGTTATTCATGGAGGCCAAGACATGGAAGAAACCTAACTGTCCTTTGATGAAGGATTAGCTAAAGAGGCTGTGGTCCGTATATACAATGGACTACTACTCAGATATAAGAAATGATGAAATGTCCCCGTCTGCTACAATATGGATGAATCTTGAGAGTATCATGCTAAGCAAAATAAGTAAGATGAAAGAGGACAAGGATCATATGATTTCACTTATATGTGGGCTATAAAACAGAAAGCAACAAACAAATAAACAAAAGAAGCAAACAAAATCCCAACAACAAAGACAACAGTATGGTAGTTACTAGAGGGAAAGGAGGGTGGGGGAAGGCTGAAGAGGGTAAAGGGGGTCAAATGTATAGTAATGGAAGGAGACTTGACTTTTTAAAATATGTTTTTATTGAATTTTAGAGAGGAAGGAAGGGAGAGGAAGAGAGAAACATTGTCTGCAACCCGGGCATGTGTCCTGATCAGGAATCGAACCAGTGACCTTTTGGTGCCTGGGAAGACGCTCAACCAACTGAGCCACACCGGCTAGGGGCAGGAGACTTGACTTTAAGTGGTGAGCACACAATATTCAGATAATGTATTGTAGACTTGTATACTTCAAAGTTGTGTAATCTTATTAACCAATGCCACCCCAATAAATTTAATAAAATAATAAAATGCCAAAGATTAAAGACAGAGAATGTATCTTAAAAGTAACCAGGAAAAAGCAGTTAGTTACATACATGGAAGCTCCAGAAGTAACCAGAAAAAAGCAGTTAGTTACATACATGTAAGACCATCAGCTGATTTCTGAACAGAAACATTGCAGGCTAAAAGGGATTAAATATTCAAAGTAATGGCAAACAAAGACGTAGGACCAAGCAAGGCTGTCATTTAGATTGTTTAAAATAGTTTCCCAGACAAGAGAAAGCCAAAGGATTTCATCACCACTAAACCAGTATTATATTATGTGTTAAAGGGACTACTTTAAGAAGAAAAGAATAGGTCAAAAATATAAGTAAAAAATAGAAAAGAAAATATCCCTACTGACAAAGGCAAACACTTAAAAAAAGTTGTGAATCAACCAACTATAAAACTAATACAAAGATTAAAAGGCAAAAGTAGGAAGAACATATTTAATTACAATCAACTAGGAGATACACACACACACACACAAGAAGTAAAAAATAATGACAAAAACAACCATGGAGGCGGTGAGTAAAAACTGTAGTGATTTTAGAATCTGTTCTGAATTAAGGAACCATCAACTTAAAATAGACTGTATAAACATAGCTTGGTTTATATGAGGCACATGGGAACAACAAATGAAAAACCTATCAGATGTATACAAAAAATAAAGAGAAAGGACTACAAACACAACACTATAGCAGTGACCAACATACAAGAGAAGAATGCAAGAGAATTTAAAAAACAAAAACAAAAAACAGAGAATTACAAAAACAACCAGAAAACAATTAATAAAATGGCAGTAACTACATACCTATTCATAATTACTTTTAATGTCACTGGACTAAATGCTTCAGTCAGAAGACACAGGTTGGCTGAATGGATTTTTTAAAAGACCCATACATTTGCTGCTTACAAGAGACCAACTTAACATCAAAAACTCATAGAGACTAAAAGTAAATACATGAAATAAGATATTTCATGCAAATGGAAATAAAAGAAAATCTGGAATAGCAATACTTATATCAGACAAAACAGACATTAAAACAAAGGTTGTAACAATAGACAAAGCAGATAGTTTAACAATGATAAAGGGATCAATCTAACAAGAGGATATAACTCTTGGAAACATGTATGCATCCAACATAGGAGTACCTAAATATACACAGCAAATATTGACCAACATAACACTATATAATATAACATAATTTAATGGATACGGTAGCTATAAGGAGACTATTTGTATTAAATTTGTAATATCGCTGTGATTAGTATAAGAATTAACTTACTCTTCTCATGTCAAAATAAGGGGTTAAGATCCAAACAGACTCTCAATAGTTGCTGGTTGAATGAACAGTGAATAATAGAGATAGGACCTGAGCCCTAGATACCAGGAATCAACCAAAGATTAATTGATAGAAATTCCATAGGGATTTCATATTTAAAGGGAGTATGTTTAACAATACCAAACTGAAAATATAATGAAATAAAAAATTTGAATTTTTTCATTCCTTGCTATTTGTGCTCTTAGAAGATAGGGTTTTATCTGTGTGGTAAATTCTGAGTTCTCTATGTATGAAAAGAACATTTTGATACACACAATCTGAAGATTATTTTAATGTAACAATAATAGATTTGGACACTCCATTGTCCTCTCTGGCCTAGACTCCCTTAAAACAGCGTTTTCTCATTTTTAACTCTGTAGCTCAGGGAGGTATCAGATCAAAGTGCTTTGTGTGTCAAAATAGAGAAGAAACTATAGACCATTGTCTTATTAAGAAAGGACCTGAAACCTTGGCCTCATTAGCACCGAGTTCTTACCACACAGCAACTAGAGCAGGCAGGGATTTCCACAGCATCATCACTATTACTTAACAAATGTCTTCTGATGGGCCAAAAGCTCTTTCTTATAGTATTTATTTTTATAAAATGCCAATACCAATGTAGAAAACAAATATTTCAGATTCTACCAATTTGGAAGCTGTGGTTATTCAAATCTTGTTCTTGAATACGCCTTTGCACCATCCACAAATAAAGGAAATTAAAAAGTAAACAAGGTAGATGTATAAAAAATACAATGTTTAACCTATGAAACTGAAATGCTAAACACAGATTATTTTAATCCCTGATAAAATACACAAGGAAAATATTTCAACATGTACATGAAAAAGTATATAGGAGGATATTCAACACAGCATTGTACAGAATAGCAAAAAGAAAAAGATGGAAAGTACCTTATAGCCACCAAAAGGGGACTGGTTATTGAAGAAAAGTACATTCATAAGAGCAAAAGTACAGAGCCATTAAAAAGAATAAGATTTATCTGGATGTGCTGATATGAAAAGTTGTCCAAAGATGGAAGAAGGAAGGAAGGAAGGAAGGAAGGAAGGAAGGAAGGAAGGAAGGAAGGAAG